TAAAAAGATAAATATAACTCTAAAATATTTTTTTAATTTTGCCTTTCATATTTTAATTTAGTTTGTTATTTTCACTGGATTTTATTGCTATGTGTTATTGCTGTAATGTTACTGTTGTGATGTTTTGTGTTGATAGACAGCTTGGCTTACCTTTCCGTTGGCGTCTATTGTTAAAAATGAATCATAGGTAGTTTCATTATTGGAATTTACTGCTTTTATTTATTTACTAATAACAAAGACAACATTTTGCTAAAAGTGCAATTTAAATCTTAGTTTGATTTTTTTTTTTTTTTTTGTTAATCCTTTTGTACTTCAAAACAGATTTTATAGTTACATTTTTGATAAAAGTTTATATTAATTGCAATTAAAGTAACTATAAATAGGTAAATCGATTTTCAATTTTTATGAAATCGATTTACCTATTTATAGTTACTTATTTTGAAATTTGGTGTTTTTTTTTGTTCCATTCCATTACTTTTTATTTTAGATTTACGTTATGACACATTTATAAGATTTATAAAAAAAACCTGATTTCCTTTTGTAAGTTTTTGTTAGGTAAAAAGATGTAAATATATGCAATTAGTTCAGTTTTTTTTTTTTAAATTTTATGCCTAATAATTTGTTGTACGTATCTTAGGGGATCTTTGTAAAGGGGGGGGGGGGGTCGTAACTAAAAACTTTTAAAAACATGGAGAATACTATAGTTTTGCGCATTTGTCAAATATTGATTTACTTATGTTTTATTTACATATTTAACTAATTAGTTAGCTTAGTCTGCATTTGCAACACTTTTGAGGAAAGAATAAATGTTTGTAAATAAAAATGTAAATCAGTGTTTTACATTTTTATTATTTTAGTTAAAGAAAAACTTGATTACTCTTAATAAAAAAAACCCTACTCACCAGGCCACCATTAAAGCAAAAAAAGGGGAGGAACCTCTTTACTTGTGTTAAAATACTTAGGAAATTAAATTTTGAGTAACAAAAGGAATTTTTAGTAAATGGTAGCAAATGACCGTTTACTAAAAATTAATGAAATAAACAGGCCAAACAAATAATTTAGAATTGGTCTATGTTGAACAGACTTAACAAGACCCGGGTCCGGTCATAGTAGGTATTACTAGTGACTTTCCCATGGACTGAATATATAGTTTATACGAGAGATCTGTAGTGAAATATTAAAAAGACGAAGAGGACTTAAGCTGAAAAGGAAGTAAGTAGTATATATACGGCCAGCCAACTTCAAACTTTGAAGTTGGCTGGCTCATTTGGCTTTGGCAAAGCTGACTGCGAACCTCATTAAATTTTACTTAATGACATTTATTTGAATTTATGGACGTTTTAAAAAATTTTTTACTAATCTATGGGCTATGTAAAACAACAATGACATTAATTTTAGTTCAGCTAGTGGCATGTACGCAATCAAAATTTAAAATATTTATTGAATCGCAATCAAATTTTGTTATTTATGTGCCCTAAGAAGTCCTAACGGTCTTGTCACAGAGCACCGCGGAAATGGATTTAATCAGGAAGTTCACGCGCCCTTTCTTACTGTGACGATAAATATATTAAAGGCTCTTTTCAAACCCAGATCCCCGGCTTATAAAGCAAGCTCTCTAACCACTAATATATAAATATACCTGGTTTATTTGCATGAATCAGTATTATTAACCAGGTTGCCAAAATCGGAAACTTAGTTCCATTTAAGTTAAGGGATAAAAAGCGCCTACTTTGTACCTTATTAAAATGTTAAGGCTTGCAACAAAGATTTCCTTAAAAGATGTTAGCAAATGATTTAAAAGTTTTGAAAATTATAAGCTACTTTCAATATTCAAAAAAAAAATTTATGGAATACGATAAAAAGTTGAATTGTATTATTAGTAACATAATGTTACCAAATAGAAATAGTTAATGTACTAACTTTATCAAATTAAACAATGCATTGGCAAAAATAATGTCGCAATTAAATACGCAAATAATATAAACTTATTTCAAACAATTGTAGGCTAGACTTTTTTTGTAATTCTATCCCCGGGGAAATTCCACCCTCTAAAAAGATATGGAGCAATACAGATAAACTAAAAAAACTTGAACCACTTTTAGCTCATGTTTTTGATTGCCAACTTTCTGTTTCTCACTAAGTATATGCTTCCTGTATCCATACTGATTTAGAAATTTGTTTATGAAACTTTTTTTGGAAATCCAAAATCATCTTCAATCTAAGTATCATATATGTACTTTAAAATACATTTTAAAATATATTTTTATTGATCATCATACTTTTATTAATCATCATTTATTTTTTGGATGCGTTTAATGTGTACAGAGATGATAAAATTTTTAATTTCACAATTCGAACCTTTGCTTGTAAATATCCTTAGGCAACATGTTAATTTAGTAGTATTAATATCTGTATATGGTATTAGATATATAATTATTCATAATTTCATCAAAATAAGACAATTTCAGTCATGGGTCAAATCTCACACCTTTTCATGAAAAATTAGGGAAGCGGCAAATGGAGACGAGAGGAAAGGCCATAAAAAAAAACAGTGTGGTGAAAGCCTCACTTCAGATAAATGCATTGCTAGGCTCACTAAAGAAAACCAAGCCGAAAATTGTCTTCATTTCAGGTAAAGGGAAGGGAAAAGACATGAAAAAAACAACAACGAGTGATGCCGCAAACAAACCAATTTTATGCACAATGTGTGGGGTAAATGTGGATGACCCTAAAGTTTGCGATCTGAATGTTATGTATGACCTCCCCGCTAACACAAAACGTTCAAGTACGTTCGAATTTTTTATGAAAACGTGTAGAAATTACCCCTATTTTGTTTTATAAAAAATATTAAAATGTTTTTTTATTAAAATTTTATATCAACAGTTTGCTTAAATATGTAAATAAAAGGAATTCTTTTACTATTCTCTTGTTTTTTATTTTATATAGTGGTTTTTAAGAATTTTTTAGAAGTAGTGGATGGATTCAGTATACCCTACCAAGCAACTTTGTTTGATATTATTTTATCCCTTTTGTATAACACTATATGTAACATCTAAAAAAACAAAAATAAAATGTTTAATTTAATTTGATTCACTTACAAGTTAAAAACTTATTTTTAATTGAATATGGTTTAAGACTTTTATTATTACTTGATGTTAGAGCAAAGTAAAGTAAATGCAAATTTTATGCTTTAATATTTAATTTAATATTACATTACTTCCATGTGATTGTGCCCATCAAGACATCAGGGTTGCATACTTCAAAAGAAGCTTTTGAAAAATTGCATTAATTGATCCTTAAGCCTGAGATGAGGGTCAGTTTTATCTGTCCTTTATATGGTTGGCTGATCTGCTTTGAACAAAACATCTTTTGTATCAACAAAAAAAAAAAAAAAAAATTAAAAACATAAATTAAAACATATTAAAATATAATTAAAACATACTTTTAATAAAATATAAAGCTATATAAAATTATATCTTTGTACAGACTTACATATAAATTAAAACTTACATATAAAAAAAATATATATATATATATATATTTATATATACATATAAAGGGGTGATTGATCTTCCCTATATTTAAATATATGCATTCAAATTATAGCTTATTTAATAATGTATGTTGTTCTCCTTTCAAATTAAAATTTGTAAAAATAAAACTTTTAAATTACATCATTGGTTACTAGTTTGAGCTTAAAAGCCATTAAAAAAATTGTAAACTAAATGTTTTACATATCTATCTGAACTCATAACTTCAAAACAAAGTAGAATATCAACAGATAGTAAGTTTGTTTGGTTTAAAATTTGAACCTTGCTTGACATAAAGTATTGGATCATATCTGCAATTTGTATTTGGAACAGCAATCTATATTAAACAAAAAGTTGACCATTTTCAGGTGCTTGCTTGACTGAACTTTAAATGATCTTAAATTACTTTATCACAATTGCTATTGGCGTTGAACTAAATTTCCATTTCCAAATTCATATACTTGTTTATAGTAAATGAACAACAACAGAACATAAATCTATACATACACTACTTTGCAAACTTTTTATTTTAAGCTTCGTTAAAAGTAGATTTGTTAACTTGCTATAAAACTGTATACTTTTTATAAACTTTTTTCCTGCCAATTTAGATGGGGAACATTGTAAAAATTGATCAAACCATGTTACGTAAAAAGATACACAAAAACATCATCGAAAACATGATGCATATTTTTCTTTAATTTGAAAATCTTTAGTTTTCTTTTCTTGCACACAAAAACTTTAATACTTTTTGAAAAAAAATGTTCTTCAAAAATACACCAGAATTCAATATGGTATTTTCATTTGTATATATCCTGTGTATAACAGGTTGATTTTTAAATCGGCTAAAATATAAACCATCACCATAGCTTTAGAGATAGCAATTACAATTGTATAAACCTGGATAATATAATGATATTATGATTTTATTATTTATGATATTATAGGTATTTTTATTGTTATTATTTTCATTATTATTACTGTTATTATAAAATAAATGTTGCTTCTATTGCTTTTATTTGTTGTTGTTGTTTGCATAAAGTTTCTTATCATAGTAGAAGCACTAAGATTAAAAAATAAAGATAAAACTCAAGAATGTGCTTGTTATAACTTTAGAAATAATTCCTTAGCCATCCTCACAAAATGACTAATAAACAAACCAACTACAGTAAACATGTTATGATTTAGTTTTCTTTATTATCAAAATATCTTAACAATCGCGGTTCACTTTGATATTATGATCACAAATAATATCATGATTTAAATATAAATTGTATAAAAACATTTGTTTATAGTATAAAATCATGTTTCACAAATTTTGTATTGAGTTACTATTTGATAAAAACATTTTACCACGCATGACCAATAATTAAATATTCACATAAAACCATTGCATAAAACAAATAACTTAACAATGCTTTTTGCATCTTAAATACTTAATTATTCGCCAAAAAATAAACATTACGTCACCTAACTTTACGCTATGGAATCATGTTTCTACCCGGTAGTCAACCCTCGCATTAATTTTTAAGTTGTTGTTTTGAATTCTATTAAAAAAATTCAAAACATGTAAAATTAAAAAAATAGTGTAGCAATAAGTTTTGTATTGCTATGGCATCTGTGTATCGTACATCAAAGTTAGAGTGATTTTCAGCAATAAGGTAAGTTTAGTGGAACCTGCACAATAAGAGAAAAGTCTGTCACTATTGTTAAATATGCACAATAATCTGTTATCACAACAAGACTAAAATTTTTATTTAATAAATTTTATGTTGTTAATTTTTTCTATATGTTTCTTTTTTCTGTGTTAGTTAACACAGATTAAAGATTAATTATTCTGTGTTTTTTTAATCTGTGTTAGTTTTAATTTTTAATTAAAAAATTAGAGATTTAAAAGAATTGGAAGTTTCTTTTTTTAGTTTTTTTTTAAATTTAAAATTTTTATTTACACAATATAAAGTAATCTTTGAAGTATGCCTGTTTCAATAGTATGGTTGATACATCAGTTTGACAAACCTCAAGTACTTTGTTTTACTTATATAAGGAAAACAGCCATGTTTTCCTTAAATAAGCTGAAACAACAACAAAAGGCAATATATTTACCAGCAGAATAGATATTTTACATAAGCATGTTATAAATTACAAAAAATATATCTGCAGTCTATATTCTGGATGATTCACTCTTATATAGCCTGTCTAAATTGAGGAGAGCAATCATAAACAAAACAAAACATAAATAAATCAAATAAAATGAATAATACACACACAGAAGGTTGCTATTAGTCAACATTCATTTTTATATCTTATATATCTTCTATGGTGATATATACTTTATAACCAGTGATACAATTGTTTTTTCTATTTATCTTGATGAAACAACTGTTGATTTAATTTAGTTTTGAGGACATTTTTTTTAATGTTGTAAAAAGGGATTGTTTTTGATTTATTTTAAAGTTAATTCCAGTCCATTAATGCAAAATATTTAAAGGAATGTTTACCGTAGGATTTTGTATTACATGTTTACACACTCAGTGCACCTCTACAAGATTTACTTGTGAGTTGAAAGCTAATTGCACCGTAAAGAAAAACTATTTATTAAATATTGAGCTTTTTGTTTATGCAGCTGTGAATAAGTAAACAATTTTTAATTTTGATTATGCCATGTAATTTTAAAATTTGTAGTGTTTTAAAGATGTGAATGTATGGGTACTTTTTGGTAGAAATTCAATAATCCTGACTGCTTTTTTCTGCATGATAAATAGGTGATTCGCTTATGTTTTGATTCCATTAATGAACACAATATGTGATGTGAAGGTGAAATAAAGTATAGTAAATAGATTTTAAAGTTTTTTGTTGTATAAAATATCTTAGCTTTGTTAAAATGGCAAGAGATCTAATCAACTTATTAGAGATATCATTATAAGTCCAGGCTGAGCTATTGCCTAGCTTTATACGCAAGTGGTTTACAAATTTTTGCAACAAAAAGTTTTTTCCATTTAACTTAATTTTGAGCTGCTGGTCTAATTTTTTGTGATGACTTTTAAATATTATTAAATCAGTTTTTATTGAGTTTTTTTTTTTTTTTTTTTTTTGTAATTCACTTCCTCAAGGCCAACAAAAATTTGCGTATAGTTTGGCATTAAAAGTTTTAAATCAGTTTTAAGAGTAGATATAACTTTGGTAGTTTTTGAGTTTTCTGGGAAAATACAACTTGACAAAAAGATATTTGAAATGTTAGAACAAATTCTTGAAAGTTTTTAATAGTTTTATAATTTTAAACGATTGCTAAACATATTTATTTTAATGACATTAAATTTAGAGTAGTTAGTTTAGCAGCAAACTTAAATTTGTTTAAAAAAAGTTTGTTAAATAAATTTTATTGTTATTATTCTTTGATATCTTTATATGTATACTAATTTATTTATAAGTATACTAGTTTAATTATATTTAGAAAACTGACAACAAATGCAAGCATTGGGAGAAACTTTTTTTGGAAAGTGCTGTTTATGAAAAAAGGTATGTCCTAATCAAATTATTATATTAAAACTGTCTAGTAAGAGGATAATTCGTTACTGTTTAGAAACAAAATGGACTTTGTATATGAAGATCAATATTTTGTTAAAACTGGAAAGAAAACTTTTATATACATCAGGAATTTTTTAGGAATCAGGACTCTTTGAGCATTAAAAGGAAGTATTTAATTCCCCATTATAAGACAAAAAATAATACATTACACACTAAAAACAAACAAAAATTGTTATATAGTCAAGATTTTTAATTCGATTGAAAAATTAGAATTTTAAAAAAAGCCAATATTCTCAAATAATGCAGAGGTCCTGATAAGAAATACAATAAAGAATGAAGTAAGTTTATATTTAGATTTGAATTCATTATAAACAGAGCAGCAAATTTATGGAACACATTGGGAACACAGCAAAATTACGGAGTGCATTGGAAGTTGTCAAGTCAACAAATGTAAACAGTATTGAGAAAAAATTAGACAAATTTTTTTTTTTTTTTTCAGCTTTTGCTGAAAATTGAAAAAATTTATCAAAAGTTATATTTGTTAAATTGAAGTTATATTGTAGTATATTATCAAAAGCTTTTGAAGTGAGTTTCTAGCTCACTTGCTGTTAAGGCAGCTACAGTTTGTCTAATACTATGATTATTATATATTTTCAAATGTAAGCATCAGTTTTTTCAGCAAATTTTTGTATTTTGCTGTAAATGTATTGTAAATATATATATATATATATATATATATATATATATATATATATATATATATATATATATATATATATATATATATATATATATATATATATATATATATATATATATATATGTATATATATATATATATATATATATATATATATATATATATATATATATATATATATATATATATATAGAGAGAGAGAGAGAGAGAGAGAGAGAGAGAGAAATATATATGTATATATATATATATATGTATAGGTATATATATATATATATATATATATATATATATATATATATATATATATATATATATATATATATATATATATATATATATTCCTAAAGTTGAAGATTTTTTAAACCCATTTGTTTTTATATAGTGTTTAGTTTTGAATACTTTTAGTAATGGTAGAAAAAGAAACTGTTTTGAAAGTAGTTGTTTTTTTAATTAATGAATCTGCTGCATTACACATAAAACGCATATATATATATATATATATATATATATATATATATATATATATATATATATATATATATATATATATATATATATATATATATATATATATATATATAAACTCTGTTTTTTTCCAGTAACTCCCAACCTAATAGTTGTTGCTTGCCTTGTTAGGAGTGAATCAGAATTAAAAAATTTGTCAAATACATTTAAAATTAATTTTATATATATATCAGGGTGGTCACAGCTTGTCTAAGATCTTTTAAAGTCCTCTTTTTTTAAAAATCTCCTAAAATCCCTTATTATCCTCTAAAAAATGGAATATTTGATTAAATCTTCTTTTTAACTTTTTTTTTTTTAATTTTTTATTTCTTGATGGAATGTTCTATGTTACAAATTCCTAATCTGCAAAACTGGTTAATGTCGTAAAGGGCATTGGGTTGTAAAAAATCAATTTTAGGAAATCGATGTCATCATTGTTGTAGATAGTTTTATATATTGTTATATATTTCATGTTATGTAAAACTTCTTTAATATAAATAGATTTATATTACATAGACACCCAAAAATTGTGACATATGTTGTCATCTATTCCAAATGTTTTAAAAAATTACCTTTAAGTATGAGTGTTTGTGAAACTACTGGCAACCTGCTTGTATGGAAAGATATAAAAGTCTCATTAACCAAAGTTTCAGGTAAACATCCTATAAGGTTATTTTTTATTGATAGATTTAAAAAAATAGATTATTTTTGAATGTATTATAGCCTATGCCGATGTAATTTTGAAGTTGTGCAAGGGGGCAAGGAATTTAGACGTTAAAGTACTTACACACAAACTAATCTCAATATGCTTCAAGAATTAATAACAAAAATAACTTTCAGAAGATTACCAATACTTTCTTCCTGCCATCTTCAAAATGTTTGAAAAATTAATTTACTGTGGATGAGTGAAATAAAAACGTTGTTTAAGAAGAATTTTTACTACATTTATAAACAGTAATTTTTGTTTGACAATTGCTGTTTTCACATTTTTTTTAGACTCAATCACTTTTGATTCAATTCAATTTATTAAAAAGTAAAAAACAGTTTTAGACTTCAACGGTTGAAATTATTTTTTAAACTTCGTTGAAGAAACTGACATTGCTCTAGCATAAATTGAGATCGACCTGATGAAAGATGGTATTATTTATATATGTGATAATTAATAAAAGACAATTAGTTTTTAAATGATCAGATGAATGCTGGCCTTTATTATATGGCTGGTTGTGTATTATATTTTGTGCATAGTTAATGTAACAATATCAGTCTTTTTGTTCCAAAATTAAAATTTATGTTTCGCATAGTAAATTGGCTTTTTTTACTCTTTTGCAATTCCTTTGTTTTTGTTAAATATTGTTTTGTAAAATTTATTGTCTCTCTAATATAATATGAATGTGCAGCCAATATTTTTTAATTCGCATTTTTTATTTTTTATAAATAATAGAGCTTAAATATATTTATCGATTATTATACTATTGTTTAATAGTTTAATTGTTTTACTTTTTTTCCGTCGATCCTGTCCTCGCCATTAAATAAGTGACTACATAAAAATAAATGTATGGTTTTAGTAATACCTGATGTGGCAGTATAACTCTTACTTGTTTTAGGTTAATTGAGCCAGGAATTTTCTCTAGAAAATCACCTAAACATGGGGAAATCCATGTTTTATAGATACAAAAAATCAAGAAACTGTCATCTAAATTCAGAAAAATGCTTGATATATTAGGAATCAAATATTTGTTAGTATATTATCTAAAAATGATAACATTTGTTATCGTTATTAGATAAAATGAAAATAAATTTTTATTTAACGTGGCTTTTTATAAACAGCAACCGTGGCGCAGTGATAATAATTATAACTCTGAACGAGGAGGTATAATGCCGGCTCTAACCCAATGACCTTCATTGGAAAGGAAGAAAACTTTCTGATAAATGCTCCTCCGCTGTGTTCTATGATGAGAACTTTACAGCTTTTTGGAGAAAATTAACTACTAAAAAAAACTTTTAAGTTACTGGCAACTTAGAAGGAAGGGTCACCCTGCTAAAAACTCCGTTTACTGTTTAGGTCTCTCTGTTGACTTTAACCGCCACTGCTCATATTAGAAAAAAAACAGCATTCCATACATTCTTTTTTACTGCACTCAAAATTTTTTCTTTGATGCCTTACCAATAGAAAAACATTTTTTTGATTAGATTCTAAGACATAAATGAATTCTAACAAAAAGCCAACTTAATTTTCTACAAATGTTTCCTGTCAAATTTACAGTTCTAAAGTCTTTGACCGTACTCAATCTTTTGATTAAATATTTTTGAGTAATTACTGCAGAGATGATTTATTAATTGATCCGCGCGTAATTTGAAACTTAAATGTTACTTTTTTCTGTTCAATTTGATTTGATTCAAAACAAGAATATATAAAAACTCTTTCAAAAGTCTTGAACTGAGACCAAAAAAGCTAAAAGTTACATTTTGTTCTGTCATTTACAATGTTTCAAAATGTTTTAGTCTGTTTAACATCGTCCACAATAGCTTTAAAAATCTTTGTAAAAGATTCTAGTTATTGGTGAGGACCTTAAAAGATATCTAGCGTTAATGTTGCTCAGTAGGGTGCAGTGATAACATTAAAAAAATTTTTTTTTGAAATACATTTTGCCTGGGTGTGCAAAAGTTGTTTATTCATATCAGAAATACTCTGTAAAAATTGCAATGCTCAGGTAAATTATCTTGAGGTGCCATAAGGACTTTGAAATCCCCCAAAATCCCCAAAAAGTTAGAAATTACAATTATTATTAAATTCATATTTTCACAAAAAAATCAATGGCTAAAAATAAACTGATCTTGTTTTTCGATTTCTTTTATAATAAACCTGTATGATGGTTTTAACATCATATCAGAACCTAATGAAAATATATTTATGTAAATTGTAGAACTTTGAGGTGCCACAAAAATTAAGAATAACAATTATTTCAAACAAAATTAAGTAAGTCTGGTTCAAGTTTATTTTCTGTCAGTTAATCATTTCAAGAACGTCATTTTGAAAGGCTAAAATCAGATTTTGTGTTAAAAACTTTCATAGCTGATCGCGACTCTATTCTTGCACGAATAAAACCATCACGCTGAGGTTCACAGACTACCATACTGGCTTCAGTGACTAGCTTCACGCCTCTTTCTACAGACTGAGTGTGGCATGGAAAGCTTTTAAATTGTAGCATTTCTGAGGTCAGAATGCTGTTTTTAAGCTTAGTCGATTAAATTGATCTGTTGATTGTGTCTGTATAATCTGTTGTTTCAAAGTTTAGAGGAGGTATCTTGAACAATCTAACTGTAGGTTTAGCATCGGTCTTATCGGATATCGATCTTGCAGCCAATACACGTCTTAGTGCTAATTGACGAATGTGGGGGCTTTCATCGGTTGCCATTGATATTATTAAATTTTCTGGGTGAGCAAAGTATGCATTTCTTTGGATTACAGGATCAACAATTTTCTTGAGCTTGATAGGCAGGTATCTGGTATAAGGCACCATTTGAAAGAGATAACGACTGCTATCCGTACAGGAATGCTTAGACTTCACTTCAAACCAAATAGGTGCATATACCTTTTGTATGTAAGTTACAAGAATGATCAAGTTTTTGTCTGGTTTTTCTGTAGATACATATAACCGGAGGATACGACTAGCAGTTGTTATCCATCGAGAATGACACATGAGTCCCGGTTTTCGATTACCCAATTCAAAACTACATTGGCCACTGGATATTGCTTGACACATTTCATGCAAGTACCTTTGATCTGTACTGAGATCATCTGCATCAATGCTGGACAACACATTTCCTTCGATTGATTGAAAACTGACAATTGGCAAGTCCATGTTCTTCAATAATTTTCCGATTGGACCACTGAATGAATTTAGCCCATATGTAGATCCATCCAGGTTAATCAGGAGATGTCTCAATGGTAACTCATTCATATGTAATAAACATACAAACCAGTATAGAGATTTGTTGAAACGAAGCTCGAGAAGTCGAATAACACCACGAATATTATCTGAGTTGACATTCTTGCCATCACATCCGATTGCCACCAATGAACTGGTATCAATAGCATTTGCATTCAAAAATGATATAATGCTAATCTTTATACTTTGAGAAGATCCCTGTGATGTTTTAACATGTTCCAGGTATTTAGAACCAGGGTCTTTTATTAACACAACGTGCTCCTCGGTCTCCAAAGCTGGATGATATCTGTTTCGTTTGATAATCTGGCTTTGGGTTTTGTCCTTTCGACCATCGAAATATAACCCTTCCAATGTTTTGGCAGCACCAGCTTGTAAAATTTTTCTCTTTTTCTGTCTTTCTTTACGATTTTTACTTGGGTCAATAACATCAGATGAGTCATGTGCATTAATAATGCCATAATCAACCAAAACAGCCGATGCTAATGCTGCAGCTGAGCAATCCGATACTCCCCATCGATCACATTCACAAGCTAATGTTGGTAGTGAAGTTCGCACTTGAGAGTTCAAAATTTCTTGTGAGGTTGTATTATTAGTTGGTGATGGTGACTTAGGCGATTCTGTCATGAAGTCAACACCTTCATTACTATCTCTTTCGGTGATAGCTTCATCTAAATCACCCAATGTGACATCATTACAATCATCCTCCTAGCTACAATCTGGATGCGGTTTCAAAATTTCAGCATTTGTTATTGATTCACATTTATAAAATCTCAATTCATCTGCAAGTTTTCTTTTCAGTGTCTTTTCCTGCAGCTTTGTTGTTTTAATATCAACGTTGCCAATAGCCATTTTCCTTTCTGTTCATTGATCTGCAAGAAATATTATTTCATTTGGTGGAACTTTACGATTCTTTTCACAAGCACATGTCGAAAAGTCTTTACATTTACATGAAACAATATCAAAAATTCGATTTGAGTCAATTTTGAAGTTTTCAACTTTGTTCAGGTACTGTGACTCCTTGTCCTTGGACCTCTGTTTAAACGGTTTCATAAGTGAGCGATATTTGTCATGGTAATCTCTTATTTTAGCTATTATTTGCCGAAGGGATATTACTGGAATTGATGCTCTGTGTCATATTGTCTCAAGATCAACAGATATCTTCCTGGTTGTTTCATTAATTGTAGCTTCTTTGGCATGGCCATCAGACAATTCTTTTCTTACTGATATAAAATGTTTCATGATATCTGCATACGTTGGCAAAACATTTATGCTCATTAGTGAAATGATGCCAAATACTGGGCATATGTTGTCATTGCGAGTGAGTGATTTCTTCATTCGAACAGTTTCAATCTTTTGTCCCATGATCTAACCATACAAAAATAAATGATAATTTTAATAATTATCTGCTAGATTCTGTGTTTTTTGTTTGACGCCGTTTGTATTTTACATAATAATACATGCACATTCACTCGCCAAATGGCAGCATTATAGCAGCTAACTATATAGCACTAAATAGTAATATTATTATATCACCCAGTCACACACAAATTTAAAAAAAAAGTCTTAGTCTGTCTCGGTAGTCCGAGCTCCGTACTCCGTAGTCGGTAGGTCACATTTTGGGGATTTTGGGGAATTTCAATTACCTTGGGGCAACTCAAGATAATTTCATAGAGCATTGAAATTTTTACAGAGTATTTCTGATATGAATAGACAACTTTTGCACACCCAGGCAAAATAAATATCAAAAAAAAAAAAAAAAAAAATCTTAACTTTTTTCCGTAAGTCACTTTTTGATGATTTTGGTGAATTTCAAAGTCTTTGGGGCACCTCAAGAAAATTTCCTAGAGGATCGCAATTTTTACAGAGTATTTCTGACATAAATAGAAAACTTTTGCACACCCAGGCAAAATGAACTAAAAAAAAAAAAAAATTTCACTGCACCCTATTGCTCAGTGTGCAAGGATTCATTTTCACATGAGTTTGAGGCCCACATAAAATATTATCGTGTAACGATAATATTCTATGCGAGCCTGAAACTCA